GCGTGGTGTTCTGGCTCCACAGCTAACGGAGCCGTGGAGCCAGCACCGGGCAGTCAGTTGGCCTCTCCTTGGCGTGAGCACACCTGGGCTATGGCCCTTCAGCCGCTGCCAGCCCTTGAGGGCCTGGTGCAGCTCCCCACAGGATGCAGGAGGCAGTTTGCGGTGCTGCCGGCCTGTCCTGTGGCGGGAGGAGTCTCTGTCCCTGCACTGCCCAGCTCTCCTGGCATCCCCCTTAGTGCATGAGTTTCCCTTTGCTTCCGGAGCGAGCTGAGCTTTTGGGACAAAAACGCATTTTCTGGGCAGCCCCAGCCATACACTCTGGTTTTTAATGTATTTCTCTGCCAAACCAAAGAGCTGTTTTCCTGGTGTGAAGATATTTTTTTCCCTCCCTCTAAAGCTAATTAATCAAACCACCGGTTGGTAACTTTCAATGAGCTCATTAGCTCAGGAGACGGACTATTAAAAAGCTTTCTCGCAAACTTAACTTTCACCCTTTAAATCACGTTTGTGGTTCCTTTATAGCTCTATTTTCTCTCTCCTTGTAAACCAGTCACCTGCATGTCTTGTATTGGTCTGGTGAACAACAGCACAGACGTGGAGCCGGGCATTGACCCGTCCCTGCCACTGTTCCGCGTGTCAGTCACATCTTCTCCCGTGACTTGTTTTTTCTCTCCTCAGGTGCAGTTTTGGTGACACACGTGCCCGTTCCGGCCCACACGCTCTGCTCGTCTGCGTTCCCCCGGGATGGCTCACGTACCTCGGGCTGCCCAGCGCAAAGGAAGTCCCAGGGCACCGCGGCAGAGGTGAGAAGGTTCCTGTTCCACTGCAGAGGCAGGAAGGAAAGACGACCTGCTGATCTCGCCACGGGTCGTGATTGAAAGCACAGAGACACCTTTTATGCTCATTTGGGGTTGGTTTTTTTGATCACTGGGGAGAGAGAGCAGCAGCTGCCCATTTCCTGTTGTTTTTCCATAACGAAGCTGCTGTGAACGTGTGGTTTCCACGCAGCACAGACAGAACAGCACGTGAGCCTCCCGGGGCCCTTCTCCCTGCGGCCCTTCCCTCTGCGGCCCTTCCCAGCTGGCTCAGAGCAGCGACTGGAGGAGCTGCAAAGGTTAAAGGAGCAGGAGGGGGTACCCAGCCCGCTGAGGGTCTCCACAAAAGGCAGCAGGGAAGTTGTGATAAACCCAAGTTCTCTTCAGTCCTTGTCCTGTGCCCTTTGCCGTGTGCCCGAGTCTGTCGAGACTGTTCGCTGGGGAAGCGCTAAGGTCCGTGGGTTTGGGGGTGTGTGTGTGTGTGTGTGTGTTATGGAGTGCATCCTCTTTGCCATCCAGCTGTTGACAGGCTCTTTTCCAGCAGAGAGCATCTTTGGTTGTCCCTGGTTTGCTTTAGGATGTGTCAGTGGTATGGTGGCTGTCGCTCCCCAGTCGTTAAGTCGCTTTAAACCCAACGACTCGTTAAGTTTCCTTGCGGTGTTAAGACCTGGTGCCGAACAGCGCTCGGGTCTCCGCGGGAGCATACAGGACTTGTGGGCACACAAATCCTGATGGGCACAATGCACTTTGCACCCGAGTTTGACCTCTGAACTCTATCAAATGTTGAGTGAGAATTGGGACTAGAGAAGGGCGCGGGCTTCACCCGCTGCAGCTCAGGCACACGGTTCCAAGCCGCATTGCCCAGGGCGGAGCGCTCTGGCTGAGACTCACAGATGTGCCTTGTCAAGTGGGCTGTTGCTGCAAAGAGAAGTGTAGACCAGGAGTTTATCCCGCCAGCAGGCTGGGAAGTGGTTTGGGGTGAGGCCCTGGCATGAGGGTGCTGAACATCCCCTACTCCGCATCCTGCAACACCGGATTTGCCCTTAAATCACACCCCGGGTGCAGCCTGGTCCTCACCAAGAGCCTCACGGCTCTGCCAGCAGCATCTCCTGCCATCAGACCACCGCTCTGGTACCCTCCTCCGCGAGCTGGTTGTGTTGGTCTTCAGTGGAGTCAGCTGGGAGCAAAATGCCTAAATTAGCGGGAAACTCCCAGGATAAAACTCCCCTGCAGCTGTGGCTCCAGGGCTGCCCCTGGGTGCTCAGCCGACCTCTGCAGCAGGTGGTTGGGGGTGCTGTGGGAGGGATGGGGGGTTCAGAGCTCTGCCAGGGTGTTGCCTGCACCGATTCCCCATCCCCTCGGAGACGGGCCTGTGCACTTTGGGGTGAGGTGTAGAAAACTTTCAGGTTCCTGGAAAAGTTGTAGACACTTTAAAAGTGCAAAAAATGGGGAGACGCCTCTTTGTTAGGGAAGAATAGGGCTGTTTCAGTGCTGTCGGGGCAGAGTTGCAAGAGACGTGTCCTTGCTCCCTTCTGCAGCCGGGTTTTCCAAAACCAGCTGGGGCAGGCTAATCCGGGCCTGACTTCCCGGGTTTAGGCTCTTGTAATCCTTCTG